TACTCGCATAGTACCCACGTACGGGTGCGTAAAAGTTTTTTTTCGGGTAAGTTGCTGACTAGAGAAGCTAGAAGACTGGAATTTTAAGGGTATTTTCCCCATCCATTTAGATATTAATGAGCAAAAAACCAGGCCCCGAGTATGCGTGGTTCCCACATGCGGGCCGTAAAAGTTTTTTTTCAGATAAGTTGCTAACTCGGAAGCCAGGAAAGCTACAAAGCTGAAATTTCAAAGAGATGTTTTCAGACAGCCTTGGTAGCCAGTCTCAATTCCCCTAGCTGGAAGCATTTGCGGGGAAAAGCCGGTGCTGATAGTAACAAAAGCTACGGGAACTATGCAAAAAACGCATTTTCTTACCGATGGTCGGTGCGCTGGCCGTTTATTTTTTCTATGATTTGTCGAATTCATCGTAAATCACTGCTAAACTTTATGTTTAAAAAAAACCTTTGCTGAATCCACGTAAAAAAATGTCATTGCCAAACTCTAGCAGCAGCAGGTCGCTTGCTGCAGAGATCACAAACTCGATGCATATGTTCTTGGTATCACAGCAAACCCAACAAAAACAGCAATTCATGGAGGTTTTTCAAACGTATCATTTTGACGACCTTTTCACTGCACATGTCTTCGTCGATACTTCGATGAGTTACAGTTACTTATGTGAAAGTAAAAGTTAAAATACGTCGCATTTTCAATTTTCTAGATATATATTGATGGACATATTGCTGGACGAGAATGGCGGTGGTGCCGTTACAGCAACAGCAATTTATGCTGCACTCTCGAAGCAACTTGGAATAATGTTTGGCGATTACGGATATGCGGCAGCGAAGCTGTCACTCAACGTCAAGGTATAGTTATGCTCAGTTGTCAGCTCAGTAATTTTCTGGGCTTCTAAACATGCATAGGCTTCTGGATACCTATAACAGCAAGTTTACGTGCTGAGTTTCTGCTCATTTCGTGCTGACTCTTCGTCAAGTGAAATCGCAAATTCTCAAATTTTTGCCTGAATCTGAACTTTTTTTTTGAATACGATTTAAGGGTAAGCAAAATTGCGACTAGAAAAAGTAAAAAGAGGTGATGAAGTAAATGAAAAGAAT